GCAGGATGGTCCTGCAACAGTAGGAGGTTTTTTGTGCCTTTTAGAGGCTTTTTCCTCATGTCGTAGTCAGTTGCAGCGAAGGCCACGTCACATCAATGTGTGACTCAGTCTCATTCTGCCACGTTGGTGCATTTTCTTTGTTCCTTGGTTCGTGCAAGGTGATTCGAGCCATTTCACCCGGTCCGACAGCGCGGACCTCGTGCAACAAGCCATGGGTTAGCGTCCCATGGCTTGTTGAATCGGGGCCATCGAGACTACAGTACATGTGAGAGATGAAGTGTTGGGACGGGTAGAAGACATTGTGTGTTTGCGAGAAGTCGATATATTCCGACTCATGGACCAGCCTGCGCATTCTGCGTGCAGTCTGTCCGTTGGCCACCTCAGCATGATGATCGTCAAAGTCATGAGGCACTGCTTCTCTACGACAGACCGCGCTCGAACCACATTCCCCAACGTCGTCGAACCTTTCAAACGCTGGTCATGGAGACGCTGTGTTTTGCCTTTCTCCGATGCGTACTTGCCTGCAGTCGCGACGTCGCCGTGTGCCATCCACGAGCTCAACACAGGCAATCGATCCACTTGTACGCATACCTCCAAAGGTCTCCATATTCAACTCATAATGGCACTTCGACTTTCCGAAAGCACAAAGAAATCGATGGCTTTGGACGGGCGACGGATTCGCCGCCGGACTTGAAAAAACAAGTCAAAGCCAGCGACCGATTGACCCAAGATAACTGCAATGACAGCGCCGTGCAAGTACGTGGCGCACTTGAGGGCGCTGGGCATCCACGGGATGCCGGCGATGTGTATAACTTCAAAGTCACACAGGGGCTCGAGGACGAGGTAGGGGGTGTTGAGGAGACAGAAAACCACAACAATCCACACGAGGGCCATGGGGAGCTTCTGATAGGCCACATGGTGTTTCTTGCGGAAGAGCTGGACGGCCATCGCCCCCGCAAACAGAACTGACGCAAACCGAATGCCCCACGTTGCCCAGGACAAGTTCCCCAGCACGAATTCCGCGATGGGCTCCTTCTTGGGCTTGCCTGTATCGTCATCGAGCTCTTCAATCTGAAAGCCCGTCACGTCCAAGATGAATAGCGTTGCCATCAAGCACGCAGCAATGCCGTAGATGCCAATGCAGTAACGCAACATGGCGGCACGGCTACTGCGCTCGGAGCGAGGCCGCAGGGCCCTCCGATGGATCTCGTACGCAATGAGGATGAACCACAGCGACGTCGCGTTGAAGAAGACTTCACAAGGAACTGACAGCCGCAAGATCGTCGAGCTGTCCATCGTGTCTTGGCGGTCGTTGAAGTACACGGCAAAGTTTCGAACGAGGGACATGATCGACCACAGCCCCTCGGACACGAATACCATAAACATGGCGCCGTGACCTGCGTCACGCATCACGTCGCTCCACTTGAACACGGTGAAGCACGAAGCCAACGACATCCCCACCGACATGGACAAGGCCGCCGTGTACACGAAGAGCATGCCTACGGGCTCCTCGCGCTCGTCGCCGCTGCCATGAAGGAACCGCCGAACGACCATCGCTCCT